TAAGCTTACGTATTGTTCTAATAAAATCATAACCTCAATCGTGCATCTTTTTCATAATACATTTATAACTGCTCGTACACGGCTATAATGAACAATAGATAACTCAAGCATCAATAAAATACCGATAAACCTCTAGCTATATATAATAAACGATGGTTGGCAACTCTATACTGAAATTGCGCGAGTGCATTGATATATGTATATATATAACGTATAGTTTAGTGCCTGCTTGACTAAAAGTTGATATTGTGACGAAATGGAGACAGAACAAATCGAATCGACAATAATTAGCAGAATAACTAGTTAGCGAATTTGTAGTTGCCAAAATGTTCTAAAAGCGATGTTAGCACCAAACACAGTTCCATAGAGTGGTGTCGTGTTACATAATTATATATATAAAGAAGTTGCTCGGATAAGTAGTGTGCTGTTGTTGTTAATTAGAAATAAAGATAAGCGTGTATAGCCATCAAATTGGGAGTTTTATTGAATAACCCAGTGATCGAGCTCAAGAGTGGCTTGTTGTAGGTGACAATTTATGGAGCAAAGGTCTAAGATTTTCAGGCGATAGCTGTCAGTTTTAATTGAAACCTGTGGTTCACTACTAAGGCTATAAGTCATTTCAATTTGGTTCGGTAATTTGCATTGTTTTTATGTTTACCGTTAGAGTAAAGCAGTTTGGATATTATTTTCAGTATCGATTGAATAGTTGATAAAGTGGCAGAATACTAATTGATTAATTTTATTAGTAACTCTTCTTAGAATAGGAATAGAGTCATTATTATCTAAATCAATAACTGTTCTTAATTACTTGCTCATGGCAGCTGAAGGTATCACAGGACGAAAGTGTGGTGGCTATAACTTAATTTTTACTATCCCTTATACACCATAATCAAATTATTTCCTTAACGTTTTACAAACCATGATCCTTGCAATGTCTTTTAAATATTCGGTAAGATTACCTTTCCGTAAATCTGTATTGAATCAAACATTTGAAATATCGTCATTGTCATTTCGACTAACCTTCAAAATCGATATGCTGACAATAAATATATTAATAGTAAAAATTTACAAAAACATTTATCTATAAAACGCAAGTATTTCACCAAAAGTGCACATAAAATGAGCAAAATAAATAAACATGCGAAAGCTTAACAACTGTAATGTGATATGCGGCATATGATGATAAAATTGAGACGATAGATAAAGATTTTCTATACAAGTGAAAACAACGCACAATTGGCAAATTGTTTGTTAACTATGTCGCGCATAATTAATTCCATATGTGCTAATAGTTTATTTATTGCACTTAATTTTAATAAACATACGCATTATTAGAATTTTCATTATTAAATTGCGTGCGGTGTTAAGGCGCTTTGATTTAATCCCTTAAGCGGGAAGCGAACAAGAAATTGGAATTTTTAGAGTGATGTTACGATATTGGCGTTAACTGAAAAGTTACAACGATATAAAGTGAAATTGTAGAAACAAGAGAATAAATATATTGAGAGACATATTTGAAAATTGATAAACATTTATGCGTATTTGAAAGCAAAATTTTATAAAAATTGAATAAGTAAAAAAACTGAAATAATACAAAAAAAGTTATTTTGTCAATCAAAGTGAATCGGCTCTATTCAAGTGATTTTGACAAGCGTGTGGAAATTTTGAGTGGATACAATATTTTAGAAATCGAAAAATAATTGTCAAAAGAAAAGTTGAGAGGACTTTTCAAAAAGTCATAAGATAACAAAAACGAATTACGATAACTGTTGAATTAATAAAACTAAATTAACAAAAATTAAAGTGTAAAATGTTAAAGTGAAGTTTTATCATGTTATGTTTTCACATTTTATTGCGCAGTTTGCACATCAAAAAGTAGCAATAGCGACCAATATCAAATTATGCAGCGTTCTTCAATACTCTTCGGCCTGACAGTCATCAGTCGTCCGGACATGGTGAGCTACAACTGCTATACACAACTGCAGGAAGTACAAAAGGCTATGCTAAAACAACAGCCCTGGGCTATGAAAAGTAAGTGCTCGTAAAAGAAATTATTTTTGTCATATAGACACAATATAGGAAGGGAGAATTAAGTAAAGCTTTGCTTGAAATTATTGCATTAAAAATGCTCCCCATTCATTTATAGTTAAAAAACAGTTTGAAATAAACACAGATTTTTATAATAAAAATCTTTCACAATTTTGATACAACCCCTAAGTAAAGGATCCCTTATACGAATACCTTTCTGACAGTCTTTATGTGTTGAATGGCGTTAGAAAAGGCTACGCGTGCTAAGTAACTTGAGAACGTTCAATGGGCTACGCACTTTAGCAAGTGTGGACATAACCGGGAGGTGTATGGTCCTGAATGTTGCAATTAGACTTAGACAAACTTGCTTTCTAAATGAGCATGTGCCTGTACATTTGGGCATTCCCGCACATGTTCATTTTATACCGGCCCGTTTGAGTAATCAAAGAGTCGCCCAATCAAACTTCGGCGGTGTTTTCCTTGCCATCAAAGTAGTAATTGATCTTCTTTACCGAAGCGTAGCCTTCTTAAGGGAAGTGACAGCACACTCCAATATTAGAGCGGCAATACAAGCTTTGAACTCAATGACAGTACCCTGGGGGCTGGTTAAAGAATACCTAACCTAAATTAACGTCATCGGGTTATTTTTGTATGCCTGATTGGTACACAGTTGAGCGCAGGGCAACTGCAAGCTGATCTGCGTACGATAGCTGAGCCTGGCTAGATGATAATCAGTTCCGAATGCGATCCCATCTTAAGATCATCCATATAACCTAATCCAACTCCTTTTGTATTTTCCAAATCAATTTCAACAGTTATGCCACCATATTCAATTAATTACACTTACAATTGATCGACAAACCCTTAAAAGAAATCGAGAACCGAAACAATTACCGTCTGTTGTACATTATAATGTATATTAACGAGCTAACTTTCAATTATTCTAAATTCCTCATAGTGTATGATCTGTCCGGTTTTAAAGAGTGCGATTCATAATAGGCAATGGCCTCTGGTTGGATGTCGTGACACCTGCGATGCTGGTAAAACACCTCGTCAATCTCAAACTATCCACACATATCCACATAAATGAACGAAATACGAAGATACGGCGCCATTTCTACGGACTACCGTGTCGTCAATTTGTGGCGCACCACATGGCAAATGGATCCAGTATATCTTCATGAACCGCGCATAAGATTATCTATGTTTGCCAAGCGCTTGGCTAATAGCGCGAGATCGGTCAACTAATGGACCTACGTAGTTGGATGATTATCGTTCGAATGATATTTATGATAAGGAGCTGGTGTTGAAGTGTAAGGATTAAAATTACGCAGCTTTTTACAAGGCCTTCGACGATGATTTTTATCGGTTTCAGTTTACTGACATTGCTGCTGAATTTCTAGTTTAGACGCATAAAGCGTAATAGCGAAACGGTTGAGGTGGTTGCAATGGGACGAATCAACGACCGATGATTTTGAAACGAAGAGTCAAACTAGTACGAAATCTTCATAATAGATTTATTGAATGTTTTGATGTTCAAAACAATTGGGACTGTTTTCCCACGCGACCAGTCTGCTGCTCTAGCTGACACAAAAACGCTTTCCGGTGAATGTTACGGTTTTATGGTGCAATGGTCGTAATGATTATTCCATCATCTGTGCAGTTACTTGAATCAGTAATAAATCAGTGCATCTAAAAACGACTGATATTGAAATTTCGACATTTTCGTGGATTTGTTTTTTACAATGAGGTAGGTCGTGCATTAACATTGTGATAATTTCACGCTTCTTATTCTGACTACTCGCCGAGTATTATAAGAAGTGGGTGGTTTCCATTTTCGGGTTTTTGTGCTTTAAACCATGAAATTTCTTTCTGTGCTGATTTACAAGTGATTATACTTTTATATTTTTACAGTGGCTTCCAAACATACCACTTTTTCGAAACACCAAACTATTAAAATATGCGGAAAAGTAATATAAATAAAGAATGCGAAAGCGTACTATGTACACTATGTATCGTTTGATTAGGCAAGTACCAAAGTTTGTAATGCGCAAAAGCTTCAATATAAATTAGATAGAAACGTTTGCATTTGTTTATGTTTCTTGTTTTTCGCTTCTACTTCAAACAGATTGGGTCCTTTGTACTTCTTGTCATCTGCTGCTTTGGGATGCTGGATCGCTTCTGATGGACGATACATCGGTTTTCCATTGTAGCCATCGTATATACGCAATTGGAGTTATATTGGTGGCGCAGTGCACTCTTCATACAAAATTTCTTCAACCACGACGATTTGTGTTTGTTTTGGACATGGTCATCAGCTTGTGATATGCAATTTTATATTTAGTAATAATTGTACTTTTTATCTATGTGAAGTAAGTGCCATACGCAACATATCAATATATATGAATGAAATATAATATAATTGATTTAAAATCTCTTACAGACACATCCAAAACGGCCAAAAGCTCTCACTCTCGGCACTGTAGTGGCCAATTTGGTCTATACAATCTATACCGGCATCACAATGAATTATAAGTATTCCTTTGAGACCACATCGGTGTTATTCACGGAGCTCTATATGAATCCACTATCACGTGTTCTGGCCTACTTAATTGGCGGGGTGGCTGGCTGGTTTTTCGTACAAAACCAACAGAAGCAACTCTACGCGAATTTCTTTCAAAATCAGTCTTTGCAAGAGTTTCTCGGCTATTCGGCGATCATTTGCTTTTTTACTAACAATGTCGCCAAAATCTCAGAAGGTTACTCAGTGGGTTTCTATGTGGTATTGTTGATCGTTCAACGTGTGTTATATGCGTCAAGTATATGTTTTCTGATATTCGCAAATGCAGCGGGTAGTGTAAAGTGGTTCTTTGGCATATTGGAGAATACACTATTCAAGAAATTCAATCAAATAACATATGCTATGTTCCTCCTACATCCAGTACTCATGATCCCGCTGATAAGCTCGAATAATAAAAGTCGCTATAGCAGTTCATATAATTTAGTGAGTTTGAGTTTGATTTGTTTTAACTTTTATTTGTATACGATTTTTATGTATAAGATAGTTTTTTTATTATTTTAACTATTGTTTTCATATTTTAAGGTAATGGAATACATTAGTATTTGCGCGTTACTGTTCTTCTTCTCCACAATTTTCTCATTATTCTTCGAAGTACCCTATAAGAATATTTCCAAAATGTTGGTCCAGCGCATTAAACCCAAGACGAACTAAGCACAGTTTACTAGTGTGAGCTTCGATGGAATTAAATCTAAGAACGCAGTGGCTTTTATTGTAACAATGAAAGCATGTTGGCATGCAAAAATTATATAACGATATATTTAATATCTATATAGCGATATATTTAAGATGAATTATAATAAACGTATCACTTTATCGTTGTTTTAGCATCTTACAATAAACAATATAGATATACCATAATGACATATTGGGTGTTTTGTTTTAAATGTATAGAATTTTCTAGAGAGATGGCTGTCAAACTAGTAAGATATCTAAATAAAAGTAGCCATACCACATTTATCGGGTTATGGTGAATATTGAAAAGCCTCTGCTGTTTGGAAAAATAAGGGAAGTGAGAGAATTTGTTCATCATATTATGAATACATGTAGCACCAGGGGTCGGAAAAAATCAATAAAAGAAAGCAAAAGAAAAACAATAAAAAACGTTAGATTTTGCTGTACCGAAGCTAGAATACTCTTCACAAATAAAGAAGCTTCCAAACAACAACTTAATTTTGATCATTTATTTTGTATGACAGCTATATGATATAGTGATCCGATCAAGAAAATAAGTATATTCGGATATAAAGCGATGCCTTCGAAAATAATTCATGCCGAATTTCGTGAAGATATCTTGTCAGTTAAAAAAGTCTTCTATACTGCAGCGCTTGATTTGGATCGTTCAGTTTGTATGGCAGCCATATGATTTAGTGATGCGATTTAGAAAATATATTCGGATATTATAGTAATGCCTTGGAAAATGATTCATGCCAAATTTCGTGAAGATGTCTCGTCAAATGGAAAAGTATTCCATACAAGAACTTAATTTGTATGACAGCTATATGATATAGTGTCCGATCTGAAAAATATGTTCGTATATTATAGCGATGTCTTGGAAAATAATCAATGCCAAATTTTGTGAAGCTCTTTTCGCAAATATAAAAGTTTTACGTACAAGAATTAATGTTTGATATCTAAAGTTTGGTTCGATATCTGCGGTTCCGGCAAATTAGCAGCTTTTTGAAGAGAAAAGGATATGTTCAAAATTTCCGATCGATATCTCAAAAACAAAGAAACTAGTTGGCGTATATACAGATAGGCGGACGACATGGCTAAATTGAATCAGCTAGTCATACTTATCAATTATATATTTACTTTGTAGGGTCACTGACATTTCCTTTTGCATGTTACAAACATCGTGGAGGTAAAAAAAGGAGGAAAATGGAAAAGTAATGAAAATATTACAAAGAGAAAGTGTTGAAGCAAAAGTGCTGTTGACACTTCCGCCGCATGGAGTGACACGTGGAATGTGGGTTATGGGCAAACAAATACAGACTTATATGGTAAAAACAAAGTTTTCTGTATATTTACAACACACAAATAATATTAAAGCGTCTTTGTTGTAAACCTTTTTGGTGCGCGTTTCCTTTCATTGTCCTTGCAGCAATATTGCCTTGTGAAGAGAGTCAGCCAGGCACCTAATTTGTGCGTCCTTATTTTGCTGCCTCTATGCTTTAGCTATTCCACTTTATATACAGGACAACAAAAATAACGAAAACAACGCGCTTCTTTTGTGTTTGATGTTTCTACTTTCATCTGTTGTTTGTTGCTTATCAACTTCACTTTTGTTCTCAGGCGCGTCGCCTCACCTCTCAACATTACATATATATATATATATTTTTATTTCTGCTGCCGACCGTCACTGTTGTTAGCAGGCTTAATTTGTACATTTTCAAGGCATTTTTACGCGCTAATGAGCCGCCAACAACACTGTCGGCTGCGGCTGTGCTGTCGCTTATTTAATTGCACTTTGGTGAAGTTTCGCTTTTCTTTCGCACACTTTTCCGCTTGTTTATGTGTGTGTGTGTGTGTGTATACTTGATATATTTGTGTCTTTGTCTGCATGCGCTTGCTTATTTCTTGCGAGTCTTTGCATTTGACTTTACAAGGCTTCTGTGCTACTTTCACGCCCTGGGTACACTGTCAAGCGTTGGGTTTTGCGCTGTTTGTTGTTGAATACCCGCAAAACTAATTAGAACGTGAGTGTAATTATGCGTGGCATTACATTGAATTCGACTTTAAATACTTCCAGTAAACTTTTGCCATTCTACTTTGAGTTGCTGTTATGTATTACTTTTCGAGGTCAGTGTAGTGTAGTCGGCACTGACAACACAATGAAAATCATTTGCCTAATGATGGCAATCGATTTAAGTAATGATAATAGCGAAAGTTTTTATATGGACTTTTTGTCGACAGTGTTTGTTAGTAGTATTTTTTTGTCACAAAGGAGATATCTACCATATCACATACGTATTCTTTTAAAGTATTTTATACTTATACATTATTATTTAAAAAATTGTAGAGTAGCGCTTAAATTATAAAAAGCAAAGGAAAATAAAGAGAACTGCCGATAACGTTGATAGTATTTTGGTATAACTCAAACGATGATTTAGTGAGCCTCTATTCCAAGCTCATTTCTTGCTAAGATTGACCTAGAAACTAGCAGGCCATGTGCCATGTGTAACTCTAATTATTTAAATCACTGGGAATGAGCACAAATTAAAAGGGATAAAAATAGTTTAATATTAGAGGCTATACAAATCTGTGTCGGGGAAAATGGATATTCTCTGAAGTTTAGAGAGAGTAAACTATACATTGCAGTCTGTTAAACGTTGGCCGAGTCTAAAATTTTCTAACGCACATCCTGTCAGCCAGCGAGTTCTTACAACAATAGACGACGTCTTTCCACTTCAAAGAGAAAGCTTTCTTTAGTTCAACTTTTATACACTGAGAAGGTTATAAAATTTTGCCACGAAGTTTGTAAACCCAGGAGGAACTTCGGCGACCCTATACAGTATATATACAAATGATCCGCGAGACGAGCTGAGTCGATTTAAGCACTAACATCTGTTCGTCTATCTGTTATATGCAAACTATTGTAGTTCTCAGTTTTCGAGATTTGTTTGAAATTTTACATAGGTCTTTCCTTCCCAAGAGATGCTCATTTATCGAAACCGCCGATATCGGCCCACTTAAACCTACAGCTGTCATACAAACCGAGGAATAAATCAAGTCATTGCATGATTTATTATTTGAAAAATAAACTACACAGCATGATTATTGTCCAAAAAGCGCACAATGTTTAAACAAATTGCTTAAAGAACACTATAGCATATAGCTGTCATACAAGCTGAACGTTCAAATGAAGTTCTTGTATGGACAACTTTTTATATGTCAAGATATTTTCACGAAATTTGGCACTGATTATTTTCCAAGGAATAACATAATCCGCGAACATATATTTCAGATCGGACTTCTATGCATATAGCTGCCATACAAACTGATCGTTCAAAATCAAATACAGTACAAAATATTATTCTTGTAAAGTAATCTTAATTCGACTTGAGTATGGTGTGCAAATAATGTGACTAGATAGAATTGCAATACGTTTTCGTTCGCCATTTACGTTTTCAGATTTACCTACCATATACGAGTAAATTAGTGTCTGTAAGAAATGCGCGTGTAAATGGTATTATAGCTTCGGTGCAGTTAACGTGATATCTTGTTTTTGCACAAAGTCAATCTAGCTATGCCAAAATACTTATACAACTTACCTATTTAGTTAGAAATCCAGTAGTATCAATTTACTATTACTTTTAAAATCACGCTCGCTAGTTCACACCGCATAAACAGTGCGGCTAAAGGCGCAAATAAATGCACAAAATGGTTCGGTATAATGACAGCAATCAGTAAATTGCATTACAAATCAAGAAAAATATCAACAACAACAAATCGGTGTGTACAACCGAACAGAGATACGAGACAACTAACTACATACTAAAGTAGGCAAAACGGGAATGAGGGCGTGTGCAGCGGAGCGGCAAGCAAAATGGCGCAGAGCAGACATCAATTGCACAGCACTAGCAATCAACGGCAACAACAACAACAAACTAGCAACTTACAATCGTCAACTATCAAAGTCATCAAATGGCGTACCGCTAATCAAACGCGCGGTGCATTGCCTAGTATGGCACATGTGCTTGCAGCCACAACAACAACAATAACAAAACTCGTCAACAATTTTATGCTCGACAGAATAAATAGCGAATAGTGCGGGGAGAAAACAACTACGAAAAAACAGACGAGTTAACCGACATGCGGCGGCAATTTAGTAAATTGGTTGTAAGCAGCAGCGGCAGTGGCACAATTGATACATTTGTCAAATTGTCACAGAACACTTACGGTCGCATATTGGCTGGTAAATAAATGCACAACACACTCGTGTGACTGCATGCTTTTGTCATATGCAAAACGCTCTGCGTATATCTTCAATTGCAGTTGAACTGTACGTGCCACTTGCCACATGTCGTATGTCGTGCTCGCGCACCACTCGACTTTTCATGCGCTGCACTCATTCAGGGCATTAAAGTCGCCAATTCGTCGCTGGCGTCACATATCTGCCGCGCAGCGCATCAATCTCTGCCCTTACAACGTTCACCTCTCCGCTGCCACCTGAAAATATTTTGCCTTTTTGTTTATACCTCGCGTATGCGCATTTGTGGCACTTGCATGGTGGCGTCGTCAGTTGTTGGCACGAAAAGCTTGTCAAAGCTCTGCCGGCGGCGCGTCGCATCACGTCGCCTACATGCTTACGAAGCGTACAGCTGATTTAGATGGGGCAGGCTTTGTTTGTTGCATGCACTGAATTAATATTGCATGTCGTTTTACGGTTTCGTCACGTCACTCAACGCCACTCATTCTCGGCCAAACAGCTGTCATAAATGTCATAACTCAGCTGGCGGCTCGCCATCGCACACGCCGACGAATGTGGTGTTGCCTGAGTGACCGTTAGGCATTTGGATGGATTGGCCAACGGCTGTTTGATGGTTAGTTGTCATGTGTCTTGATTTAGCTGTCCTTGCTTTGCTTGCGTGATATGACTTGATCGTGTTTGTTTTGATGCTACCATAGAGAGCCATCTATAACTCTTAGTGGTATGAGACATTTGGATGGATAATAGAAACAATTATTTACAACATATGCAACAGTAGGGAAAGGTATCAAAAGGTGTCGAAATTTGAATGGTCTTGAAGCTGTGGACTTCGCTGACATTTATGCGACAGAGCTAGAAAGCGGAGCAGCCCAAGATAAAGGAATTCTTGGTTTCGATCTATGGATAATAATATTATCTGCAATTTTGAAACCGAGACTGATCCAAAAATTTAATTTTTCTGATTTAAATATGTTCATATCTTTTTATACCTTCAAAATAGGCTCTGATTCAAGTATACCA